GAATATTACAGGTGGAATATTTCTTGTCTACTTTACTACATATTTTGAGCATTTCCTGATAGCGGAATATTTCATACTCAATGTTTGAGTGTTACAAAATGAAATACCCAAGATTTCATTATCAGGAAATACTCAAGACATATAGTGAGGTAGGCAATATAACGCTGGTTGGAACAGAAAGAGACGCACCATTATTTATTAGAGATGAGATCAGTGTTAACCAAATGCAGGGAACTCCACTAGGCACAATAAGAGAACCAAGATGAATAAACAAAACCACAGTCCATGCCCTTAAAAACCTCACTTGCTAGGGGTAGAGGTAAAATACATACACGTTTTAACCAAGTACAAAGCAGAATTCAAAAAATGATGCAATACTAATAGGAACTAGAGAATGCTATAATATTAATAATAAATATAGAACGGAGAAGAGAAATTAATTATGTCTTATAATATAGAGTCTTATTTGCTCCAGAGATAAGAGAGAAGCTATTTTGTTCACCCCATTTTGTCAAATTAAGAGAGATCTCAGTCCCCAAAACAACCTTGTAAATTTGATACTATTATTTTCTTGTTTTGCAGATAGGAAAAATGAATGACATGGTCAGTAACTTCCCCAAGGTCACAGAACTGGTAAGAGGTGGACTCAAGGCTTAACCCAGGCATCCCAATTTCAGAACCTGGGTACTGACCCTCTGGATAAACTCTGGAAAAGCCAGAAAGAGAGCAAATTATGGACAATCTCCAGTGTCTAACTTGGAGTCCGTGAGCCATGCAAACTGGAGACTTTCGCTGTGGAGCCAGCACATGAGCAGACAATGTTTTAGGAATAAAGCCTTTCAACAGACATACCCAAATTAGATTCTCAGCACTGAAAGTTTAATAAGACAGGGAGCACCTTAGCTGCACAGCTTTTCAAATAAGGTGAACCACTGCTTCAATTAGGTATATGTAATTTTCCTAAGAAGGTCATCTATGTAGTTATTCAGCAGCATTCACTTATCTTAACCCTTTAAGTGTCAAGCCCCAAACAGGTGCTGCAATACTTTGTTTAGCACAAAGTCCATTCGATTTACCCATTATTCTATCTTCCTGCAGAATTCTATACCTGACAGTGTGGACATTGCAAGGGGAGTAATGGGATCATTGAACCTGCCTCCTCGAAGCAAAACAGGAAGGGAGGACAGGAGGGGGAAAGACTGAAAGGGGCTTGCTGTCTACTTTTCCTCTTGCCTTTTGGCTGTCACGTGCAACACTGCATACCAAACGTTATCCCTGGCCAACCAGCCATGAGGCCTAGGGTTGTCCCCCTGCCAAACAGGTTCAACAGTCCCAGGGACGAGCACAGCCTGACTCATCTTAACAGCCCGCATCCATTCTTGACGAGTCCCAGAGTCCCCAAAGTCCTCTCCCCTTCTGCCCTCCCTTCCAGTGAGTCCCTGCGGACCCCTTTCCCCGCACGTTCTGGGTCCCAAATTCCTGAGTCCCTTCCCCCTCCCGGCTCCTGGGCAAGTCTGCGCTCCCTGTGTCCCCTCCCTCCCCGCTCACCAGGTGCAGGGCCAAGGGCAGCAGCAGCAGGAACAGCCACAGGTACAGGTGGCAGCTGTTGGTGAACGTGCTCTGCTCGGGGTCGTGGTACCAGCCCCCCGTGAGCGCGGCCCACACGCC